AGGGATAGATTTAATACTTCAGCTCTATTTTTATTGGATAATTAGTGGTGAGCAATTCCAGTCCTGGGACAAGGACAGAAATCTGTAAAAATTGAGGAAGGCAAGAAAAGAAGCGAAAGAGTAATAAAATGGGTGGCAGGTTTGTTTTTCACCTCCCATCTCTTACGTGGTTGTCCACAAAACTTTGTTGGAGCAGCTGGGGAGGCAGCTCCAGCCAGGGGCGCACGTGGTGGCAGGGCTGTGGGTGCTCCTCTGCTGCCAGGTGCACAGGTGATGAACCCTTTTGGGCTGGTTTGCTGACTTTTTGATAATTGTCTCACCATCAATCAGCTTGGGCACTGCCAGTTCTGTTGCAGGGAAGAGTAAAAATGCCTCTGCTGTGTGCTGGTGACGGTCGTCCTGTTGGCTTTCCGGATAAAAGCGTGCACCAAGAATACTAACTATAAACCACACTTTTTAAAGAATTGGAATAAGATGGAATAAGATTTAATAGCTGGTGTGTGATGTTTTCAAAGGCTCTGGAGATGTTAAGCGTTGATGAAGGGCATGCACGATGCCAGCATTTGGGGAGTTTGAAATGTAAACCACACTTCCTTAGGCTAATTGTGCAGAAAAAGAGCAGAGTGCTGCAGATTCCTCTGCAAAATAGTGCGATTGTGCAGCACTGCTAGCATTTACTGACTACCGAGTCTGCTTATTTCCCCCATTTTTTATTATCAGCAAAACTTTAATTACAGCTTACCTACCACCTTCTGCCTCCATTTACAATGCAATAAATTTTCTTTCTCCCTATGCAATCTGCATCTCAAACAGCGCAGTGCTCCCGCAATGGACGTTATTGATTCCTTGAAGAAATTATAATGGCATTTGTTCCAAGGAAAATGGGAACACGCAGCCATGCACACGTACACGCCAGATATTAAAACGTCCCCTCTCTCCACCAGCAGCCAGTTGTCTGTGCTTTATTGAGTAACACAAGTGCAGGTTGGAAACCCGCTGCAATTCTTTTAAAGTGATTGATGGGAGGCAGGAGGAGCAGAAGCAGAACCAGGGACTCTGAGTGAATTTGATTCCTGTCTTCTCCAAAAACAGCAACAGGTTTTGTTTGTTTGTTTGCTTTCCCTTGGTTTTCAGACTACTTAAAACTGGAGAGGATGTTTGCTTAATGATTTTAAAAGTATATGTGGAAATACTCCATAGTGTTTAGCTGACTTTCTGCTTGAACATCAGGAACAGATGGGGCTGCGAACAGTGCTTGAAGGTGGAATCAATGGGCACCTTGCTATTAGGAGGGGAAAACAGCTGGAAATGGAGTAAAGGAAATGCTTTTAAAAAAGCATTTTCTGTCAGATTAGTGCTGGCTTGAAAATAAATACCACTAAAGTCCTTAAAGAGTTTGAAGGTGACAGCTTTGTTCTCATCCAGAGGTGGTGTTAATTTGTCATCAATATTCGGTGACCCGATGAATGCCGTAACTGCTGCAGCATCCAGGTGACCCCCGATGAAGCTCTATGTGCTCCAGCGAGCTTTGGGTAGAACGCTTCCCAAATTCCTTCCCTTAAAAACATGGGGACCACGTTCTCATCTGCTGTAAATTAGAAAATCAGGGGATTTGTACCCATTAATATCCAGCGGTGATCGGTGCAGCCTTGCTCTCAGATGTTCAACTGCAAGGCACAGGCCAAGGGCTGTGCTCGTGCAGTACCCACACCTGGGAGCTTTCTGCTGCTGTCCAGGGAGAAAGTAGCTCAAATGCTGCTAACAGGAAAAAAACTGAGCTGTTCAGGTGACAGAGAAGAGCCTGCAGCTTTGCTTTGCCTACAGAGGTGAGGAAGAGCGAGTGATGAAGGCAGCCCCCGGATCCTGCTCCTCTGGAGGGCTCGCAGGGCTCGCACCCCTGCAGAGGTGAAGTGTGAGGCTGAGCCAACGCACAGCTTCATGGCAAAGCCCACGAGGGAGTTCTCGAGTGTTCGTCCTGAGCAAGAAAAATGTCATTGTGCTTTTGTAGTGCCAGCTATTGAATGTCGATAATTGTGATTTATCTCCGGAGTTAAGCTGGAAGAACATTAAAAGGTTGCAGTTGGTGGAGAGCCAGCCTGATTATAAACGTGGCATCGTATTCCCCCTCCGTAACAAGGAGAGGAAGAGAACTTTATTCTTGCTGAATTCCCTGTGTTTCAGTGTCATGCTGTATCCTATCCCCTAGCAGCACCCTACAGTGGTGTTGGAGAACACAGCTGGAAAAAATAAATCAAAGAAAAAAATATTTTGCTTTTAATTTTTTTTCAACTCATGACGTATCGCCTGTTTCAGTTCTCAACTGGAATGGCACCGTGAGGATGAAACTTAAAGGTTTTCGAAGTACTCGGATGTCACTAATGTACAAAGTCTTTCCTTGATGTTTGTTAATGGCAGCTGTGATTCTTGGCCGTGGCACTAGATGGAGTTGAACCAAGCAGGAGCGGGGAGGTGAAGCTGGAACCCCAAAGCCAGGGGAGCTGCCGGAGTCACAGCTCAGGTGAATGAGCACCGTGGTCTCCACTCCCTTTTTTTTTTTTTTTTTTTTTTTGAAAAATTCAGGTTTCAGCACCCTTTTTATTTTGAAAAATCAATATCACTAGCATGTATCTTCACCCTTTGTATAATCAATAATAACAAATGAGCAAATCTCCCACTAAACCTTACGGATTCTGATAGAATGAGAAATGCCCTGCTGGCCCCCTGGAGGAATTTCAATTCCTCAGTCTGCGTGGTGTATACAGGAGCACAAACCCTGCTGTAAACCAGTGCTGGGTGCGGTGCAATTCTGCTGGCGTGGCTTTGTGGGGCCATCTCCGTCCTCTAGATGAGGCAGAAATTGGATGCTGTGCTTTTATAGCAAAAAGGGGAAATGGGAGGCCACCAGAGGAGCAGACGTGGAAAAACGAAACAACAAAATCAAAACAAAGCAAACAAAACCCAACAGGACCTCTCCACCCATGTACCAAGCCCCAAAGTGCTTCAGGGCGCTGAAGTAACTGGTGTGGAGTTAGCCTGACACAAGGCACTGTGTGCTCGCTCAGAGTGTAGGCTAAAAATAACTGTCACAAGAGCTTATCTAGGAAAACCATTTACAGAAATCATACAAGGAGTGTTTAGCTTGGCAAGCTAAATGTTTTCCTGTGTGTTGATGTTGTTTAATACCTCATGTTACAGCGCAAGACCCAGAAAAGTCTGGATTCAGTCAAGCTCAAATTGAGCTAAAAGCTCTGATGGAAAAACCGTGCATGATATTAATAAAAGTTTAGGGGAAAAAAAAGAATAAACCTTCAGCTAGATCCCAGGCTTTGCTGTGGGGTAATGCAGGCAGGTGTGCAGCTTTCCTTTGGGAGCAGTGAGCCCTGAGGAGTGAGGGGGCTCTTGGAGTTTTTGTTTGGGAGCAAGGCTTGGGGTAGGTGTCCCTAAAAACTAGAGACAGCCAGGAGTTGTTGGGAATTGATGCTTGGCGTGCTTGCTGATGGCAATGGTTGGAGGGGCTCTGTCCTATAAGTGATGTCCCCTCTGTGGGGACATCAGCATTTCACTCTGCTGGCCAGGTCAAGGCCATCGCCCTGTCCCATAACACATTTATAGTGATAGAGTTAGCAACTCTATTGGGTTTTGTTAGGGTTTAGTGTCCCGTAACGCCTGTTAAACCCAGCACACGAGGCAGCAGGTAAGGCTGGCTAACAGCCGCAGCACGCAGAAGTGGCACAATTTACCCCAAATCACTGGGGCAGGGTTTGCAGCACAGGATGCGTTCAGTTTTCCTCGTCCACACCACAAAACAGCAGAAAATTGCTGAAAACATTGATCTTAAAGAAAAAACAAATCAAACACTACCCCCAACGCCTGCTGCAGCCCGGAGGTGCTGTGTGCCCGAAGGACTTAGTGGCTCCTGTAAGCAGGGGGTGGCTGTGATGTGTGGGGGACATGGGTGGGCTCCAGGCCCGAGCTGCTGCCAAACCTTGCAACCAAATTTCAGAATGAGGAAAGTTGAAGGGTTGCCGTGGGATGGTGGTTGTGGCTTTCAAAATAGCCCAGCTCCTCTTGTGCTGTTGTAAATTGAGTCCCAGCTTCAAAAAACCCTCAGCTTAATCAATGGGATTCCTTTATCCCTGTTTTCTCCCTTTCTTTCTTATTTTTTTAAAACTTTATTATCAGTTTACACATTTAATTATGTTGTTTTGCAGTACTTCTGTCAAGCTAGCGTTTCTTTCCCTACAGCTAGGCCAACGAAGCGACGTATGAAATACATAATGCTCTTTGATTAATATTAAATGTGCAGAACAAATACATTTGGAAGATCTTTATCTTCTTCTGGAGCGGGCTGTTGGCAGTGCTGGGGCTGGGCTTTGTGCCGGCTCCCCGGGGACACGTGGGGTGTCCTCTTTGTTTCCCACGGCTCGGTACGACCCGAGTACAACTTACACCTTTTTTCTCTCTCGCTTTTTGTAGCATTTCAAATATTTTCAGTATCTTTTGGCTCTTTAATATCTCTCACACAGTTAAATTTTGTAAATGCTGGCTTAATTTACCTTTGAAAGAAGCCTGGAATTTATGATTATTGGGGCCCATGCACCGCTGCTCTGCCCTTGTGATACCGCAGACCAGGTTCCCTCACGTGTTGGATGTCCAAGTTTGCTTTATGGGCAGCCTAACGTAAGAAATTTTGTTCAAACCAGTAAACAGGCATCCACAGCTGCTCTGCTTTGTTGTATTTCGATTAATTTCATATTCTTTGGGGATGATAAATGTTAGGAGGAAGGTATTTTTATGAATGAAAGATGCAGTAAGTGTATATGAAAAGCAGCGTAGTGCTTGCACGAGGTTCTGCAAATCTCCTGCTTTCTGGCCCGAAACAGCTTTCTGCTGCGTGCAAATCGCTGCTGAACACAATCAGTGATATTACTGCCAGCCATTACACGTTTCTGTTACATCTCATCTGTCTTTCCCTGCTTTTCTTGTCGTTTTGTGTCCAGGTGTTTGCTCAGGGAGATGAAGAAAGTGAGTAAATATTCCGGGCTCTCAGGAAGCCCCGAGGAATTGTTGGAGGATGCTGCCGGGGGTTTGGGAACACAATGCACTTCTGTCAGCGTTGACCGGGGCGGAGGTTATCAGAGAGGAAAGAAAGGGCAGTAGACAGAGATAAGTACTTGTTTTTGATGCGTTTTGACCTTAGTTTGTGCTGTCGGCTGTGGTGGATCGATGGCACGTCCCTGCGGTGGGCCTGACCTTGGACGTGGCCGTGCAACATTTGGTGCGTGCCCAAATGCAGGAGGTAGGTGAGTCCATCGCTGGCTTGAGCTTTCCTTGAGCTGTGTTAGTAATTAAAAGCAAACAAAACGAGAAACTGAGCTCAAACATGGATCTGTCGGAGGGACTGGGGGAGAGGAGACCTCCCTGTGCCCTGGGGAAGAGCTGAAGGCGCAGACGGAAAGCCGGTGGTGCTCCCACCCATCGCTGCATCTCACGTCTGCTGCTGGACGCCAAATTGGCAAAGCTTCCACCAGGGCTTCATAAAGCAAGCGGTGTAACCTATTACAGCAAATCATCCTTTGTCATCACTTGCCTTCACAAGGTATTTGTAAATAAAAGAGCTTGCTTCCTACCTGTAATAGAATTACACAGATAAATCAGTGCTCGGCTCCTTCCCTTCGCTGCAGCCTCCTGCAATTTTCTCGGTGAAGTTTTCATGTAGGATGGCCTCTCCAGGGGCTTAAAATGAATCACAGAACAAAATGAAACCTGACCTTATGCCGTATGTATTTTTTATGACTGGAGCTTATCTTATCAGGCTCGGTTGCCTACCTTGCGCCGGAAAGAAATTTTGGCTGGCGTTTCCTAGCAGGAGGAAAGAGCCGTTCCCCTAAAGCTCGATAATACCGTCGGACTTGCGTCTGCCTTTCACCCAGGTGTGACCCCACTTAAGAATAAAGTCATTTCCCAGCTCACTTTTAAGCATGGTGTAGCAGACAGCCAAGGGTTTGGCAGCGGCTGAGCGCAGAGGGACGGGTGCCGCGGCCGGGCTGGCGGCACCGTTGTCTCTGCCTGGCTTTGATGGTAATCGGGTCGGGCAGACATCTCCGGCAGCTGCACCTAATGGGCTGCCACGCTGGGGAGGACCAGACCTTGAAACTCTTTCTGCTCCGCAGCCAGTGCACTGGGGAAAATAAAACCTATTCTGCATTAACGTCGCTATTAAATTCTGCCCTCCCGGCTAAATCAACAAATTGGTGGTGCTTCACACTGGGAAGTTGGCCTTTTCTCTGTAGCTTATTTTTTTTTATTATTTTTAATTTTGGTTGATTGAAATATCCGTTTAAATTATTGATAGGAGCTTAAAACGGAGCTAATTCACTTCAATTTATCCCATAGACAAAACTATTTATAATTAACGGAGAAGCAGAGGTCACTTCGGTGTGTAATAGCTGCCAAGCCAAATGAATAATAATTAGGCAGTTTTTTATGCTAAGCTAAAAATTATGCAAGGACTGCCCTCCGAATAGCCTTGAAATGATTAGCGAGAGATTCAGGTGACAACGCCGGGGAGGGAGGAAAGAAATCCGGGGGGTCTGAAACCGGGCGCTTGTTTGTCTGCTGGGCTGGCTGTGTCAGCACGGGAAACAAACGGTCTTCAAAACCCAACCTTATCTTTAAATCACAGCGACAGCAGAAGCTGTTGTAGATACATGATGATACATAATTGAAAAGGACAAAGGGTGAGGGTTTTATTTAAAAAGGATGGGGTCTGAGCGGCGGCTGCCTCATCCGTCAGCGTTCGCCTGGTAAGTTCCTAGGGCCAAAATTGAAGTGTGCTTCGTTTGGGTGGAGAGACTCTGATCAGTGACATAACCTTCACTTCTTTCTTTATTTATTTATTAACTTTAAGATGGGGAGAAAACGTCCTGAAAATGTTCCTGCCACCTTGCTGCGGGTTCCCCTGGGGCTTGCACACTGTTCGAGGAGGCGAGGCGTGGAGGGACAGCCTCGTGCATTCCCTGCCTGTGCAAAGGGCTTTTGTTTTCCGCGTGTTTTATTGCAGTGAAACAACGAATGGTTAAAAGGGGGGAAAAAAAGGAAAGAAATTAATGTAGGCTACAACACAGAATTATTGCACCAAAGCTGAAACAAGGGTAAAAAGTAGCAACAATTGCATAATGGAACTATAAAAAAGCTCCTTCCCTCTGCTTGCAGGACATAATACCAGCTCACAACACAATATAATTAGATTGCCACATCACCCCTTGTAAAACCAGAAAGAAAAGAAATGTAGGGAGGCATTAAAACTCCTTTCATTTTCTAATGCCTTTGGAGAGCTATTGGCCATGGAGGACTTGCTCTGGCAAAAAGCTCTAGTGAGCTATTAGGTTTTTAACTATTTTATAGTATTTTTTATTGTTGCCAGGCCTAGTTTTTCAGTGCAATGACTTTGCCCTCTTTCCCTCCTCCAGCCTGTCATACGTTTATCAATCTCACAGAAACCTTTCACTATAAAGATAAGTCCAGGCTCTTCGGAAGCGCGGTGTCCTGCTGCCATACCCTCCTTCCCCTCCACTTTTTTCGGTAGGTTTCACATCACTTCTTTTATCTGGGGATCTTCTGATACAAATTCCTTGTGTCAGCTCCGGGTCCCAGGAACAAAGCCCTGTTGTGCCGGGAAGTGGCCACGACCACCTCTGGGCCAGGTTTAAGTGCAAGAGGAGAGCAGAGCCTCTTCTGAGCCCAGAGATCACCTTCCTGAAACGGTTACCTACAAGCAAAACTGTCTCTCTTCTTTCTTGTGCTTTAATGTGGTGTTTTGCTCCCCATTAGAGCTGAAAGGCTAAAATGCAAATGGACAGAAAGGAGGGACCGAGCGTTGAAGAGCAACTTTATTCTCCTGGTGAAGCTGAAGGATTGTACTTTTAGAAAAAGACAGCTTTTGCCAAGGACAAATGGATGCAAAAATCACTACATTGCCATGGGTTGATTAGAATTGGGCCTTTTCAGAGGAAAACAATATTACTTATTAGTGGACCTGCCAAATTTGGTCCTGACTCAAATTTTTTAAAATCTGTGGAAATGTCAGAGCTGCTATAAGCGTAGGGAGCTGACAGTGATAAGTTGTGTGTATCTCTAACCAGCAGTTTTAAAATGATGCATAGGGAGAGCAGTTGAAAGAAAACTCGCAAACTGATATGAGCAAGAAAAATGTTCCTGATTAATGCAGTGGAAAAACACAGAGCTGAAACTTCCTTGTGGTTATGGTGGTGGGACACCCAGGCTTAGCTGGGAATTAGGGTTTGGTCATGGCTGTCATCATCCTTACCTGAGATCTTTTAGGTTTTGCCAGGCGTCTAGGGAGTGTGCTGCCAAAAGCACACCTATAAATAGGTGGGATGGATGCTGACCTGGTGAGAGAGTGTGTCTTAATGTGCTCTGGTTCACCTCTTCCACCTCCTGCATGTCTAATTGGCTGTGACTGCCCTTCAGAGCAGTGTTCTTGGGTCAATGATGAACGAATTTAGGTTTCTGTCAAAGGGGAGGATATGCCTGCCTGGTTCCTTCCCCGTCCATCCATCCATTGGAAAATTGGCCCCTGGGAGCAGAGGACGCCCCAGCTCTCTACTCACTGGCTTTGCAGAAACATTTCCCCTGGTCTCAGTCGTAAAGTTCACAGCATCGTTGTGGTGCTAGCAGGAACCTCAGTGAGCATTGCGGTTTAGATCTGCGTGTCGAAGCGAAGAGGAGAGCAAGAGGAATCTGCTCCTAGCCACCAGGTTGAATTCCCTACCCGAGGCACAGGACTCGCGGCAGGTTACACGTGCTGAGCTGGCAGAACAGGGCTGGGTCACACTGTTCCAGGGTCAGGGTGCTTCCCGATGGCCTAGGCTGACATCATCTGGATCTTAAATTTAATTCAGGGTGACAAATACCAGACAAGACAGTGGGAAGCCCCTCTATTAAGCTTATGCAGATGTTGTATGAGTGCACATGCATGTATATGCCATGGTTTTTATATAGTTCTGTGTGTAATACATCTCTATGCTGTTCAATTACCTCTGCTGTTGTTAAATTTTATTTAACTCAGTGAGTTGACTCACACTGCCTGCAGTGCAGCAATTGAGCAGCGAATTTGTAAGCATATAGAAGATAACAAGGAGAAAAATAATTAACCAGAAGTCATGTCAAACCTATTCGGTTTTCATTTACAGCAGCAACAAACCTGGTGGGTAGAGAGCCAGTTGCACATAACATTACCAGAAGCAAACGTGGACAGGATAAGTACAAAAGGGGCTGGAAAAATGTACTTCAGTGCTACAACACGGCGTGCACACGTAGCCTGCTCTGCTCAGGGCAGGATGGGTGAGGGGAGGGCAAAGAGGATGGCTTCTGAGCACCAAAAAGCCTCCAGGGGTGCAGGTTGGGTCCACCAGGCAGCGATGCTCCAAGATGCAGCCTACTGACCATGTCCATCCTTAACGGCACTCAATGTGAAAGGAAATACCAGAGCAGCTCCTAAATAGAGGAATTTACCCCATTTTGGGGGTAATTTTTATCTGTGATGACCATTCCGCAGTATAGGAAATGGTCCACAGAAAGCACCTTCAAGGCAAGGCATTGAAATGTTAATTATTGCAGTGTTTCAGCATCAGGTTTCTAAGCTAAATCACAAAAGTTTGCCCAGAACATAAAGCCTCATGCGAGTGCTGCTGGGTGATCAGCTTCCAGCAACAACCACCAATGAGGTTTTTTTCATTTGTATTTGATGTTTCTTGCTAATTTAAATGTCACAGCTCATATCTATGCCTCTGTTACCTCAAGGGTAGGCTACTCAAGTGTGAACTATAATAGAGTTGCATCTCAAACACACTTGAAACGGTACTTCAGTGTGGAATGACTCTGTTTACATTGAAAATGATATATTATTATTTATATCGCAGTAATATCCAGCAGCTCCAGACATCTATTAGGAAGCCTTTATGGTCAGTGCAAAATAGACCATAAAGTAATGTCCCTATGCCTGAGAGAAGTAAATTCATTTATAAGGAAAGCCAGCCATGAATATATCAGCATGTCTGCGCAGAAGCTAGCTACATCTGTGCTGCAGCATAGAGGTATTAGTTTCCCGTCATACAGCTGCCAAGGAGCTGACATTTGTCCACAAAAAGGCTTCAGCTTCCTTTCTTTGCAGCTAAATCACTTCAGGAACTCGGGTTGGGGCTACTCAGGTAAATGACAGAAAGTGGTTGAAGGAGTATTGATGGGTTGGCTTTTAAATGGGCCTTGCTTGGTGCCGATAGCAATTTGATAATATCGAAGTCATGTTGCAGGTGTCCCTTCCTCGTTTCTTTTGCTGCCAAAACGATCTCCCCGTCCTGCCTGAGACTTCCTTCTCCACGCTGGAAAAATCCTCACCTGTTAACCCGGAGCCTTCTGTTCCGTGTGTTCCTCTATTGACAGAAAGATGTATTTTCAGGCGAAATTGTTGCTTTGCTGCACTGCTCCGAGAGCAGATCAAGGCACGGTTTGTTCCTCTGTTCCCTTCCTGCTGCCTGAGTGACTGCCTGCGCTTAAAAGCATTTGCCTGACTTGAACCCGGTAAATTCACTCGCAGTATTTGAGAAAAGCTGTCGGCAGTGCTGTGTTCCTTCAGTTTAACCTGGCAAGCATCATACATGTTCTGGAGTGGGGAACTCGATGTGAGATGTCTCTGTGTGCCTGTAAGCGTGCACCTGGCCATTTCTCCTTTCTGCGCCTGCTGTTCAGGAGCATCGCCTGGACATTAAGGTGATCACATCAGCAAACAAAATCCCTTTGTCCCGTTACACTCATCAAAGCTGGGCTTTGTTACGAGGGCTCCGAGCGCCTGCTTTCTGCTTGGCACTGGGTGAGGAGCAAGGCAGAGGGATGAGCTGCTGGAGGATGCAGCCAGCTGTGGCTGCTGGCGATAGAGCCAGGGCTTCCTCTG